AGAGTGTGCATTTATTATTTTTATTTATTTTACTTTATTCTTTTGCATCTGAGTCTGCAAACAGTGGATCACGTGTGCAATGCGCAGGCTTCTGCGGACTCCTTCTCTCATACCCTGTCCATACTGAAGCACAGCTATTCGGACACGGGACAGGAGGAAGTGTCAATGGACTTAAAGTGACATTAAACCCTCAGATTTTTTAACATAAAACAATACTGTAATGTGTGCCTTACTGTAATCCATGGTTGTTTCCCTTCTCTTTGCTGCTCTTCCTTTTAAATCTGTATCTGTTCTCATGCTCTGCAGAACTTCTGTTTTGCAGCAGACTGCCTTGTCTCAGGAATGGATACACGGTGTCTGTGTATTAGTTTCTATAGGCTTGTAACCTGAGCCAGCACTTTTCTTTTTTTTTTTGTTTTTGTTTTTGTTTTGTTTGTTTGTTGTTGTTTGCTTTGATGTTCTTGTCACTGGGTATGTTGCCCGGGTTTTTCCCTTTGTGCGGGAAATGTTGTAACCTCATCATTAAAAAAATAATAAAAAGTATCTTTAAAAAAAAAAAAAACCTGAGCCAGCACTACAGGAAGAGGCCCTGAGCTGCAAAGGGAAGTTGTACAGAGCATGAGAAGACATGAGGATTTAAAAGGAAAAGCAGCAAAGAGAAGGGAAACAACCATGGATTACAGTAAGGCGCACATTACAGTATTGGTTTATGTTAAAAAATCTGAGGGTTTAATGTCACTTTAAGTTTGGTTGACATCACCGCACTTGCACTACCTTGAGAACTACAAGTAAACGTAACCTTTAATTATACCATTACAGTGTTTTGTTATATCCATTTGATACATGCAAAAAATATTTGTTGATCATGTCAGAAATTCCGAGCTTGCTTGTGTTCTCTCGGAGAGTTACCCCAGTTCTCAGAACAATTACTCTCTATGATGTGAAGCTGAGTAGAGGGGGTGGAATTCCGTAATTTAACAACATACAGTAGGTTAGAAGAGGCATGTGGTGTCAGTCCAAGGCAGGAAATCAGAAGCTGAGTGCGATTTTGGCAGATCGGTAGGTATTTCTGTACTTGTAGGGTCTTTAAAGGGATAACACAACGGGAAAGTTTCATGTATTGCAGATATGTACAGTGTGTTTGTCTATGTACTGTATGTCATTTTATTTTCTTTGAAGTACACTTTGACATTTCCATACTACACTGAAACATTTACTGTTGGTAGAATTAGGTACAATGTCCTGTCACCTTTCCTTGCTGTAAAAAAGCTCAATCAGCTGCGTGGCTTGGTACCAGTTGCTAATACAATATACTTAGAATAATGTTATATTGGTGATCCATTTTGAATTCCCTGGGTAGATACACTATGAGGTGGTTGATATTAAATCTGTATGTGTATTGTTGTGCCTTTTATTTCTGCAGGTATGGCAGGGGCTGGATGTAGTGAAGACTGCTCGTGTTATGATGGGGGAGACCAACCCATCTGATTCCTTGCCTGGTACCATCCGAGGGGATTTCTGTATAGATGTCAGCAGGTAACCTACCTTAAGGGAGATCCTCATTATATTTAGGGCCCCTCGCAGCTCCCAGGTTTTCTCAAGAAAGCCCATCGCAACTATTGCAGCAGAGCTTTCATGAAATACACTGTATAGGACGGGATAACTCACAGGACCTTAGACCGCCGTAGCAGAGGGGGAGTGGGGCTGCAGGGAAAGGTCTAGCAGCCAGCCATTTTCGAAGTTCAGGGGAGTATTTCTGTTTTCATTTTCGTCCCTAGACCAAAACAAGCACTTAACCCTTGCAGTGCAGGAGTGGCCCTACTGCAAGGGTTAAAAACATTTCTGCCCTTCTTTCTTCTTTAAAGGTTTTGCCCTCTGTTGTTTAAAGCAAAGCTTTAGCCCCACTAAAAATCACATCAGCATGCCACTCTGCATGCTGATTTAAAATCATCTTACATACATTAGTTAACAAATCTGTTTTTCTTTTACTTAGAAATCGAGAAATTTACTTCCTGGTCCAGCTCTGGCACAAATGATGTAAGTGCCAAAGCGTTGTATCCTGGGAAGGTTACACCAGCAGAGCATTGCTGGGAAATCTCATCTGTAATCTCATGAGATCTCAGGAAAAGGCATTTTCCTCCCCTGAGATTATCTGCATGGTCACATGTCCTAGTCATATGTGTCAGAGTCCCAGGAAGTAAAGGGAAAGCTAGTAATCTGCCCTAAGTTAACATGGCCACTGTCAGAAGACTAAGGAAGAAAAGAGAAATAAGGAATGCAAAGAATACAAAGCCGGCAATTATCTAGAAGTCTGTGTTTGTAGATTGTCATTACTAAACATTTCTAAAGGTGTGTTAGTTATTATTTTGAAGATCTGGGTAACGGTCCGCTTGAAATGTTTAGAACCAAGTACCAATCGGACATTCCAGCCCCTTCCTAATAAACCAGTCTAGTTGTGAATCTGCCTATGGAAAGCGGTTGCATCTACTTTACTAGTCCTGTTCTTCCTTCAGAAACGTCATACATGGCAGTGACTCCACGGAGAGTGCCCAGCGCGAGATTGCTCTATGGTTTAAAGACGACGAGTTGATCTGCTGGGATCACAGTGCCGAGAGCTGGATCTACGAGTAATTCAATAAGGAACAGAGAAATTCGAGCTGTTACAGGGTACAAGGTGGATTGTTCTCGTTGGGGAAAAACAAAAAAAGTGGGAAAACTTGACTAGAAGGTGAACTAAAGGGTTACAATTTGGAATCTGGTTACTAGGGGGCATCTGGAAGCACTTATTCTGTCCGTCCAATCAGCAATTATGAGGTATGGAATTGCTACAAAGCTTTAACCCTTTCTTGTAAAGAATATAACATTTGTTTTTTTTAAAGTTACACGAACACAGCCACACTACATTGCACTGTTACATTACGGGCATTAATCATGTTTATAGTGATTGGTTCTGATTGCCCCTCGCCTATACACCCATAGTGATGACCTGTTACCAATAAGGATATAAGAGAAATCAGCACAGCTTTAGCCTTCGTCATTAACAAATAATACTGTGGAGGTTTTTTTTCTTTTCTTTATATAAGGAGACTGAGGATTGTAAAATGTCTTGTTGCTGGAATGACATCTAAAAACCTGAACATATTTGAATGTATTTCTTCAAGTGCTTATGAAACCCACAGGCCCTTGCATGACATGTATGTCTGACAAACGTGTGGTAGCCCAGCCCGCTGGGACTTGTAGGTCCGTGTGTTCCCATTCTCCACAATATCATAAAGATATGGCTATATCTACCAAAGCAGACTTGTTGCAGGAAACCATTCTCTTCATCTGCACGCCTCACTCCTTTAAAAAGAATTCGCCACTGGGTAAAGTGACAGGTTCTCTTTAAAAAATACACACTGATGCTCACCTTTGCTGCACTTCCCAGATCTCCGTTCGGAGCCTTCAGCAATACCTGGTGTTTGGTGGGACATGTGATCTTCTCTCATTCCTCCCACGATGCAGTGGCCGATTGCTAGGCCAGAACACTGTCACATGAGAGAGCTTGCACAGGGATTAGACTCAAGGATCCGACAGATGCATTGAGCGGCAGGAATGGTATCATTGGGTTGGAGGTGGGGTTCTCAAAAGATCATGTCCCTTTGGCATTTTAAAGTGGTATTCTGTTTTGAGTAGAACAATGAAGGGTTGGAACCTTTTACTGGGTTTGTTGTGGTTTGGTTCTTACTGGGGAGTAGAGTTACAACTGGCCGGTAATGGAAATGGCAACAAGGTGGAAACAATGACTGAAAACACTTAACATTTATATTTAGAGAAGGGATAGCTCTTCTGTCAGGTTTGTTACCCATAACCACTGCAGTGCTCAAAGAGAAGGGAATCAAGGGCAAAGCTCCTCAGTTGGGTAGTTTCAGACATTAATAAAAACTGACCGGTTCTGACCTTACACCTCACTTTTCAGAACCGAATGTGCCATGTAATACCCTAGCACCTGTTTTTTTGAAAAGGGATTTTGCGGTCAGGTGTGCAATGGGACTATGGACTTTATGTAATACCCTGCCTGGCCAAGAAAAAGGTCACACACTCTAATATTTTGTTGGCCCGCCTTTAGCTTTGATTGCGGCACACATTCGCCATGACATCATTTCAATAAGCTTACGCAATGTCACAACATTTATTTCCGTCCAGAGTTGTATTCATTTTTCACCAAGATCTCGTAGTGATGATGGGAGAGTCGGACCTCTGCGCAAAATCTTATCCAGCACATCCCAAAGATTCTCAATGGGGTGAAGGTCTGGACTCTGTGGTGATCAATCCATGTGTGACAATGAGGTCTCATACTCCCTGAACCACTCTTTCACAATCTGAGCCCGATGAGTCCTGGCATTGTCATCTTGGAATATGCCCATTGTGCCATCAGGGAAGAAAAAATCCTGGGATAGAAAAACCTGACAATTGCCCTTATGCTCTCGAGAAGTTTGTTGGTCAGTGAAATGCCAGCACAATTAATTTGGTGTCAAAGCGGGAAGAAAATTCTCCTTCAGACCATTATCTTCTCTACGTCCAACTGCTGTTAAGCAACAAATGATAGCCCATGATTGTATATAACAGTGTGACAGGATACTCAGCTGTGCTGATGATGATTTTGTTCAAAGACCCAGGAGCAAAAAAAAAACAAAAACATACATTGCATCCTAGCAGTCCTTAGAAGTGGTGACTACATTTGTTTTAATTTTTGAGCCTTAGAAGATTTTTAGCCAGTACAGAAGATGCCGGTTGATCTTTCCAGGAGGAATGAAGCGTCCCTGTCACTTCCTGGGAGCAAATAGAATGTTCTCTTTCTTGTGTAAACTACTCATGTCATTACCCCCATGCAAGGGAGCTCTGCGGTGAGAACCTGATGGCAATTCTAACACTTCTCACTCTCACCCTTCTCACTATCCATAGAATAAAGACGGGAAGTGACATGTATCATAACCACAGAAAAGGTCTAAAGACAATGGACATCAGCTCTCATTTGTAGGGTGCATATTGACTGGCATTCTAATTTAAGCAGACTGCCAGGCAAAACTGTTGTGAACCCTTATAGTGGGGCTACCACCGTACTGCCAGGGTTAAGTGCTCATTTTTTGTGTAGGTGCTAAAATAAAAAAGTTATACTTGGCCAAGCTGCGGAGCTGGCTGCCTGTCGCAGCTCTCCCTCCAGCCTCTCTCCTATGTATGATGGTATGTCCCTTGAAGTCCTCATGTCCTGTACACTGTTTATAGAACGTAATGACTCACGGGACCTTACACCCCTGAGGCTGGATTCACACCTAGGCGTATCGAATATGCGCGTTTGTCGCGCGTTTCGTGACGTGCGTTTTTAGCGCGATTCGTGGTAAAAAAAATGCGCGACAAGCGCGCGTTTCCGAGGGCTACTTGGCTGTATCCCAATGGAAACGCGCGACAAAAACGCCCCAAAGAAGCTCCTGTACTTCTTTGGGCGTAGGGCGTTTTGTAGTGCGTTCATGCAGCCTGTAATACGCCCAGGTGTGAACCATACCCATAGGAAATAATGGGATTTCGGTGTTTGAGCGTTTTGCAGAGCGTTCGAACGCGCTACAAAACGCCCAGGTGTGAACCAGGCCTGAAGCAGAGAGAGAGAGAGAGAGGCTCCAGCGACAGGTTTAAGAGGAGGCCGGCACTGAGGAGTGGGTATAACTTTTTTTTTTAATCTTAGCACCTAGACAAAAATGAGCACTTAACTCATGCCCCACTGCAAGGGTTAAGAACAGTTTTGGCCGGAGTTCTGCTTTAAATGCTGCATTTTTCATTAGAACGCATGCTGTTTGACAAAAGAAGGCTGCCGGCAGTTCAAATACTCCATAATACGGCATGCTGTGTACAAGGAAAGCAGGTCAAACACAGACTCAAAACTACCATGTGTGCTGGCTTTTGTGTCCTGCATTTGACATGCATTCCAAATGCAGGAAAACACCCATTCACACGAGCCCCAAGGAGCACAGGTCTGACTCCTGAGATGTGTAAAGCACTGATGATAAAAAGCATTTATGTCTACAGACTGTATGGGCAGGAATGGGTTAACAAGCCAAAATGGCGGCTATGTTTGTTTACAGGGCTTATGTTTTGTTTTTTTCCCTTTTTATAATAAAATAATTTCCACAAACCTTTCCATCTGCTTGTATGTTATTTTGTAACCCAAACCAGTACCAGCACGAGAAATAGACGGAGCACACACGGGTTCAGCCCATGATGTCAATTTGTAATACGTTTATTACATACATAACAATTACATGGTGTTCATGTCACAAGGGGGGAGAGCGAGAAAGCAGAGAGCGTTATTGATACAGCTGCCTTTACATAATGCCACCAATCAAACCAGAGGACGGACAACACACACTGCGGAGTTTACAAGCCTTATTGAAGGGACACGTCGGAGCGCCCCCTTGTGACACTCTCTTTACATACATCACCGCCGTAGGTAGAGCGAGCTGTTAGAGCCAAGCTTGGAATACTTTTGCTGGCTGGTCAGAATGTGCTTTTTTTTTATGTTTTAACCCCCTGAACTGCAGAAAAGCCTGCAGCATCTGGACCTGAAAGCAGTCTGGCAGCGCAGGAGTTTTAGGATCACATGCAGGGAAATAGCACTTGTGGATTCAATTTGTCCTGTCCCAGCACTGCCCTTGACCAGAGGAGTATATCTGTAAGACATGAATGGATGAAACTGTTGTTCTGAGGCTCTGATGTCAGGAAATCCGTGAATGCAAGGTGAAAGTGTGTCTGGGCATTAAAAAAAAAATGTATATACAGTACAAATATCCAATATCCATATTTAGCCATTTTGTGTCTCTTTAAAAACAGTGCAAGTATAGAAAATGACTGGTCCATCCAGCCAAAAATCCAGCAAGCTCCTAATATCCTGAGCTGACAACACCGTCTCTTCTGCACTGAAATTGAATGCAGTGTTGTCAGTCCTTTTGAGTGAGTTTCCCTACCGGCTGGACTACAGAACACCCCTTCTGTTATAGAAATGAGAGCAGGTGTTCTGTAGTCCAGCAGGGAAGAACAAGACAACACGGCTTTGGATTTTAGAGTAGCATTTGGATGTACTTTTTTGAAGAAAGAATTATGTAGTCGGTGTGCAGGGACTGCTGCTGGTTCCAATGATTGAAACTGCCCATAACCTGATATTATTCTTATTTATTGCTATTGTCTTTATCCTGACCGGCGTTGTTCTATCAGGGAAACCTGTACCGAGAGAAATATGTGGACGACCATTGCTCAGTTCCTTCTGAAAATGCTGCAAGAAAAAAGCAAGCAGTCAGCATCTTGTTCTAACTTGCTCCTGATGACTCAGAGTATGGAAACCAGAGGATAGACTTGGCAGCCAACACTTATAGAAGGCAAGGTTGGCCGGAAGCCTTCACAATTCTCATAGCAGCCCATATGTCTAAAGTCATTGTTTAACTTGTGCAGTTTGCAAGGACTGGAATTTCTGGAATGAATGAACAATTTTTGTCAACGAGAAGTCAATTTTGGCAAGACATTTTTATCAAGTTAAAGTGCAGCGGTCATCCATCTACTGCAGTCTGCCATTATGGGAGCTGGATCATCATGCCTTGATTACGCTTGTGCATTCTTGGTTCACATAAATGATTAATGATGTCTGTGACATAATCAATGGCGAGGATGAGAACAGTCCCCTCGACTATCATGGTACAATTCTCATTTTATTTTCAGTCTCACATACCTCTTACTGCACCAAAAATGCAAATTGGACCATAGCTTAGGAACACATGAGGTGGCGGGTATCCAATGTAGTGTTATTCTGGGGGTAGGTCCTCTTGTCTGACAACCTCAAAGCATTTTCAAAGGGTAAGTACAGCTTTGTAATAAAATGTCATGTTGTATTCCACTCCCTATACCTGGCTGAGTTAAAACTGATCTCCAGATATCATTTTTATGTATACTTACAATGGTCCAGCTTGGTTCAGTGTAAGTATACACATTTTATAGTTGGCCGGTTAACGGGGATTGAGTAAGGACCGTAAAAGCTAACGGGGATCCAGTAAGGACTGTAGTAGCAAATGGGGATCCAGTAAGAACTGTAGTAGCTAACGGGGATCCAGTAAGGACCGTAGTAGCTAACGGGGATCCAGTAAGGACCGTAGTAGCTAACGGGGATCCAGTAAGGACTGTAGTAGCTAACGAGGATTCAGTAAGGATTATAGTAGCTAACGGGGATCCAGTAAGGACCGTAGTAGCTAACGGGGATCCAGGAGGAACGTAGTAGCTAACGGGGATCCAGTAAGGACTGTAGTAGCCTTCCAGGTCCTGTAATGTCGCTAAGCTGAGCAATTTCCCCTCTGCTCTGAAAATGCGGGGTCACTTGCTCGACACAGCGGTCATTAAGAGAACCCTCCGGGGGAATTTATCAAAACTGGAGCGGGCAGAATCCGAAGCAGTTGGCCAAGGCAACTAATCAGCTTCTCTCTTCAATTTGTTCAGTTAAGATTTGAAAATGAAAGAGAAGCTGATTGGTTGCCATGCACAGCTGCTCCAGATTCTGTCTGCTCCAGGTTTGATAAATTCCCTTCCTAGTATTTTCATCAATGAATATAAGACGTTCTCTGATTGGACAAGGGGCAGAGCGAGACATCTTAGTGCCCATCGCCGCAGGGCCCAGAAGATTGCTGTAGAACACTCTAGTAGTCTCGGGGACTACATTGCTTTACAGGATCCCAGTGGGCCAGTGGGGTATAAAATATATGCATGGATACACGGAGTTCAGCTTTAATGCCATGGAATGATGCTTTCTGCACAGTACATGCCTTTAGTACAGTGTGAGAAAGCATGCATAGCTGGAGGTCATGTCATCTGAGGAGTTCCTGCAATGCCTTTTGTGGTAGTCTCTGTAATACTTCTCCAGCCCTACAAAACCGCGAGAGGATGTGCTGGCACCCGGTCCTGGGCGCGGTTGCCTGCATTAACCTGCACACTTGATAGCAATGTGCGTTTCATGCACCAATCATATGGAAGACGCAAAGGTGAAACAATGAAGGACAATGTGACTTCTGTCCTCAGTCATCCTGGCACAGACCGAAATAACAGAAGCTCCAGGGAGCTTCACATCACACGCCACTTTTCTCTTGCGTTGGGCTCAGGGGAGCCAGAGAACGCCTGTGCGCAAAGAACACTTCTCTGTGCTCTGTCTCCATTCTGCAGTGTGAAAAAGCCCTTAGCTGTATGCAGGCAAGTACAACTTCAATCAGAACCCCAGACAGATATAAAAGACACAAATAAAGCAGCTCTGCATTCATTATTACATCAATGCTGTACTTGAATTTCTATTGGTATCAGGCTCTTGCAATGCCCTATACAGCAGCACTGGAAGAGGGAGGAGCAGGACTGGGAGCCAATCAATTGAGCTGCATGCATAAATGTTAAGGAACATGCTGATAGGAGGAGAGAGTGGATTGACCTCATCTGTCTGCAGCTTCTCCTATAATGTCCATCCAAAGGCTGAGGCAGGGACAAGACCTGTAAGTGTTACTTAATGACAACAGAGGAAATGTAGGTCTGCCAGACAGATCTGTTCTGTGGTGTGTAAATCTCAGAACTGGATGGGAATAAATACAAGTCCCTTGGGAGGTAAACAATATGTATTTCTTCTGGGTCTTCCAGCCTGTATTTTCACTACGCAGGGCTGCTGCATACACAGGCACATGGAGTGAGTGTCTTCATTTTTCCATTATGGCAGCAAAGGGCCGGAGAGGGAATTCCAGGCACAGATGATATTTCATAAATGTGCCACAGTTCTGATTGCACTACGCCGCACCCCCTTTTTGCTGGTGCCAAAGGCTGCTCAGCCCTTTTTAACACAAGGGTATAATGCCACCTACCTGGAGCAGCAACAAGATGGAAACCTATGGCCTAATCATATGCTGTTTAAACCAAGTTGAACACTTTTGCCAAGGATGGCACTTCAGCACAGGACAATCTGCTTGGTATGATGTGCCCATTCCATTCAATTGAAAGGAGAGTCATGATGGCAGTTACCTGGCACAGTCGAGGCTCCAGTGATGTTGGCTGCTGATGCTTGACTCCTGAAAGTGGCTTGAGATCTGGTTCAGGTATGCCACTAGGTCATGGTGCAGAGATATGGTCTGCTCTGGAATTAGTACTGCTCCTGGAAGTCATGCAGCAGCCTCCAGCTATAAATAAAAGCCTCAAAAGTGGCAATAAACTGCTGGACTGACAAGTCTCCTTTCACAGAGAAGTCAATAGACAGATGTGTCCCTGAACAATTGGCTGTTTCCCAGTTTGTAATTCCAGCCAAACTAAAGGCTCCTGTATGACAGTCTAAACAAGTACCAGCCACACTCCCAGCAACATCCCAGTGTGGGCATGCTGGCACAGCCAACATGAGGGTGGTAACTGCTCTTAATTCAGGAGCAGTGCAGCATTGTTGCCACCCTATCACAGGTAGCTGCATTAGGTGGACTTCACTGGCTGTCTCAACAGGAATTTGTGGTACTGGGAACAAATGTAAGTACAGATGCACTTATTAAGTGCTGCAGCACATATCTTTTTTAATGGGAGGCCATAGTTTTACTTTAATTTTATATATATATATATATATATATATATATTGCTGCACTTTATAAACAGACCTCTTATGTTTACAGTGTATTTATGGGAAAGGCGAGCTTCTTTTGGTAATTTGTTTCTAATGAATTACACCGGGATGAATGCCAATAAACAACAGTATGGAAAATGGTTTGGCATCATAGCAGAGCCTCATGAACAATATTCTTCCATTTCATGCCAGATCTTTTTAGCAGTAAGACAAATGGTGACCATCTTCAATGTAATGCCACAAAAGACACCCAGGAGGGCTGGGAAGACAGTGGCCATCCAGTTCTGCCCAGAGGATATATGTTGTATCATGTCTGTCACTGCTTAAACCTTCTCCTGGTAGGATCCAATCAGAATAGGGCAGAAATACATTGGATTTCCAAGTTGGTGGCGGCTTCATCAGGCTCTGGAGTGGAGGGAGGTGCTGGGGACATCAGATAGGAGATGTAAGAGGAGGAGGAGTTCCAGGAGTTTACAGCAGTGCTGGGTCCAGGTCTCAGTTTTTTTTCAGCGGGTGCAGAGAAGCAGGAGGCGTTTTGGCATTCTGGGAAAAAGGCGAAGGGTGCAATTATTCTGGGAGATACGACACCTGCCACACAATGATGTGGCTTCTCTCTGCCTTAGAAAGCACAGGTTTGTTCTGATTGGCGCCGTCTCCTGAATTCTCTTCTGACTCATCATCTTCACCGTCCCCTAAAAAAAAATAAAAAAACATTGGCTCTTATCTCCTCATTCCAACCTGTGTTATGATAACAAGCTATATCTTTAGGCTCAATTCATACAGCTATACACAAGGATAAGGATCTTTTTTTGCTGTCATGTGACGGTTACTTTCAAATCTCATTAGATAAAGCTGAAAATAACTAACAATTTTTTAAAGTAAGGATCCTAATCCTGGCGTTTTTGGGGAATTAATCTTTTTGTATTATTTATTTTTGGTATTTATATAATATCGACAATTTACGCAGCGCTTTACACAGTGAACATTTACATCAGTCCCTGCCCTCAAGGAGCTTACAATCTACGATCCCTATCTCACATACATACATACATACAGGGCCAACTTAGACAGGAGCCAACTAACCTACCAGCATGTTTTTGGAGTTTGGTAGGAAACCGGAGTACCCGGAGGAAACCCACACAAGCACAGGAAGAACATGCAAACTCTTTGTAGATAGTGAACCACTATCGCGCTAACCACTGTGCTGCCCATTAAAGTATATCTAAAGTCAAAACTATTTGGTTAGAAATGCATGCTTACCCAAGTCGGACAGCTGTGGCTTGCAGCAATATTAAGATACCCCAGACAGATTTTCCTGGCTTTGGCTGTGCCTGTGCAGTAGATCCCAAAATGGCGTCCTTGGGGATCAACTGCACAGGTGTGGTCAGGGCAGAGAAGGGGGGTTCCCCAAGGATGTAAAGATAGCTGCAAGCTATAGGTAGGCAGGTACGTATACATCCAGGGCAGAGAAGGGGGGTTCCTTTAAAGGAGAACTATGGGGTAATTTGATCTCCTAAGGATCACAGGAGGACATATACTAGCGTCCTAACGTGGCCCAAAGCTCAGTATATCACAAGCTATAGCTCGCGGTATACTGAGACCGCCACAGCCGGGACGGATCTCGACATTACTGTTGAGATCCACCCAGCTGCCTAATTGACAGCTGGCTCTGCCTATCTAGAGGCAGAGCCAGCTGTGCCCGCCCCCTCCCTATCCGTTCCTCCAGTCAGTGCTGGAGGATCGGAGCGGGGAAGGGGGAATCCATGCACAGAGCCGTGAGTGACAGTCACAGCTTTCTGCAGGGACATGATCGGGAAGTGAGTGAGCGGCAGTATGTATTCGCTCACTTCACGATCTATTGAGCCGACGTGTGACAGTTTCATTGTCACAGGTCGGCTTGAACTGAGCGAAAATCACTCACCTCATAGTTCTCTTTAATGAAGCGAGGGGGTAGGCCAAAAGATAACTACTGAAATTTGAGTAAAGGTCTGTTTTAGATTCTGCCGCATGTGATGATGCCCTGATGGAAGCAGCCATTCGCTGAATCTATTCATCTTCTCTGTCACATATTTCCCCAAAAACAGAAAACAGTCGAGGAGATAAAGAACTGTAGTTTCCATCTTAGGCTTCTCTGCTATATTGCTTTCTGACAAATACCCATGAGCTGGAAACTGTTCACAATCCAGGACAGGTTTTGGACTCGCGGTAATAGACTGATGTCATGTGGACTGAAAAACCTTAAGCGCAAGAAAAACTGTTTCCTATCCACTTTTTAGTTTGGACTCACCAATACGGAAGTCAATGTATCCCTCTCCTCCGCTTAGTACTAGCACATTTTTTAGTTTCTGCTCCTCTGTTTCTGCAGATGGGGTTCCTGGGTTCTCAGATGGACTGTCCAGGATGCTGCCGTTCAGTGTGGCCAGAACATTACCTACAAAAAAAAATGACAGATATAGGTAGTCACTTGGTCAGGTCAATCAGGTCTTTCATTCTTTTGGCTTTTAGTAAAGCCACAGTAATTTTGGGAATCCCAGAACAACGTCGCATTGACACTTGGGACTGAGTTTTAAAATACAAGAAATGAGGAGAAGAAAGGAGACGAGAAATTAGGCCACCACTCCCCCCAGAGAAGATGTAGAAGAGAGCATGGATGTAATGTTAGGATTTAATCCACGGACATTGGTTGGTCTGTACCATGTGGGGCTCAATATACCATTCAAGATGCTCCAGCCAAGTTCTTGTCAGCCTATGTTTAGTGCTACTAGATGGAAACAATAAGTCTTGACAATAGCTTCTTACACATATGCAAAATACTATGGATTATCCTAGGCAAGACCTCCACTGACCTATGAATATTCACATGAATTAACCTTGACTATGCACTCACCTGGTACAGACACAAAGAACTTGACAGCATCACGGTGGCCATGGAAGCAGAGCTGTGCCTGGGCCATGGAGCAGTATGGGATGAAGCTCCCTGCAGTCTTGTCACTGTTTTCATCGCTGTACACATGAATTACTCCACCAGGCCGTGCTCCCTCTCCAGAAGAAGTGGGAGATGTCTTGTTGGCTAAGGATACAGATTAGTCATTAGTTTCTCTGAAAATGGTTCCCCCATACTAGGCTAAGACTAGACAGGTTGTCCAATTCTAGAAAAATTCTATTTGTGGAGAACTACAATAGATGAATTACTGCAAGCCATTGTCGAAGTGTCAGGCCACCCACAATGGTGTTCCCAGGACACACTGAGAATTGTCAGGCCACTTAAAATGGTGTTCCCAGGACACCCGAGGAAGTGTCAGACCATCTTAAAATGGTTGGGAACATCCAAAACATCAAGGTGGATGAAAATAGAGCCATGAACTATGGCAGAGGTTTTGCTGTTGGAGCCCTTAACTCCATCTTTAAACAGCGTCTCCATTACTGAATTATTTTATGGTAGGCTTACCCGTTTAGGTCTGCTTCTGCCTAGTATGCCCTGTGGCCAATTCAGTGTGTGACTGACACTTTTCTATATATGTACGCCACTAAGGCAGCCCTGGAAGGTTGGGTGTAGGAAAGTTAGGCATGTGTGATGTCATGTAAGCTTCTTTACTGATAACTCATCTTTCTATCACTTGGTAAAAGGACAGGGATTCTCCTATTTTTTTTTCCAGGCAGAGATGGTCTTAAAAACAGTTTATTTAAAATTGCTGTTCAGACTTAGAAAGTTTGACATGGAAACATCACAGAAAAGGGAAATAACTAAATTGGTGAATCAAAAAATACTCCAGTTCTGACTAAGTATGTTTGTTCATACAAGATGGAGTTACACAATGAAAACAAACCAAGGCCAGTGTCTTCTTAATTTCCTCTTCTCACAACATAACTAGCTTGCCCTAAGAGTTTCATGCGCTAACCCTACCAGGGTTATCCACTAAAGCAGGGGCGCCCACTATTTTTCGTCTGGAGCTGCTCCCACTGATACTACGAGCTGCGGCGGGGGCGGAGCCGCTGTGACAGAACGGACGAGACGAAAAATTCTCCAGTTCAGGTCACTTTCCAGATCAGCAATTTTGGCCTATATTGTTCACTTCTCCTGCCTTCTGCACCTCCCCCCCAATGGCCCGTGGTGTGCCTTGGCCTTCTCAGGTCAGTATAAGGGGGCATACCCGGAATCTAAATGAAATGAATGAAACAAAGGGAGTGGGTGGGTTGGGACGCTCGTGACCCGTGGGCGTAATCTCCTGCAACCAGTGCCGTCTTAAAGGCACAGGCTCCTCCTACAAACCCAGGCTAGCCTCCGGCCAGCCTTCAAACTTATCATACATAACACCAAAAGTTTAACAATTAGAGCAAATTCTTCCAAAATGATATGCAACAATTAAAACATTTACATTTATTCAAACACCAAAAATCACAAAATGGTCATGAACTTCTGTTTGCATGAACGTGGGGGAATAGTATCCCCGATCAGAATCAGGTATGTTGAAATAAAAACTAAAATGGTTTGTGGTCAAGCTTTTTTTATGTTATTAACTGATATATTATATTGTTATTTGTAAAAAAATAACTTTATTTTATAAATACCGGTAAATACTTGACAGGAGGTGCTTTCATGCTTCAGTGTTTTGTTATAGCATCATGGGATTTCTAACAAGAAAGCCCAGCGCTAGCTTCACATTGGCTGCCTGGTCTTTCAGACTGGAGATCTAAATGCTATTGTCTCTATGACGGGTTGTGTCATCCCTTCACTGCTAGGAGTTCTAAATTATGATTTCCACTCACTCCAAAAACAGACCCCACATTGCTTGAAGCAGGCAGCCACTGCCTATGTACTCCCTTAATGATTCCAAACTCCTAATTGGAAAAAGTCAAATGTAATCCAGCAGGACCATGATGCCCAAAGCTGGCCATACACCTATAGATTATCTGCAGATTTTCTATGGTCAGATGGAAAAAGGGCAAAAGATTCCCCCATCTATGCTAAACTTTGTGGATGGAGGAACCTCACACTGGGCCAAGCTTCAGAATCTTGCTAGTCGGACCCGCTGGCTGTCAAAATACCCAAACAATCTGATTGGATGAAGGCATTGTTCATGTGTTTTGACAGCCCGCGGGCCCAGCTAGCAAGATACTGAAGCTTGGTCCAGTGATAGATTCCTCCATCCACACAGTGTAGCGTAGATGGAGGAATAATTTGCACATTTTCCATCTGACCACAGAAAACCTGCAGATAATCTATAGGTGTATGGCCAGCTTTACTTGATCTCAGTCTTGGTCTGCAGACATGTGTTTCTCTACACGGTACAGTGCAGACACAGACAGGCTGAATTTAAACAAAAGCAATGTTTACACTGGCCTGGCCAATGGTGACAGCTGTCAAAGAGCAGGGAGATAATACACAATGTAAGAGGTTATGTTTGAAAAGATGCTTGTTGTTGTTGTTGTTGTTGGGTTGTTCCTAACTAAGAAAGGATGGTTATTCACTAGGTTCTCATTATAACCCTATTTACTACTAAATGATGAGAAAAGAAGGTTCAGAAATACAGAGACAGCCACCAAAAAATGATGGGATAAATAAAAAGAAGAAAGCTTGAAATCAAAAAGAAAGTAGTAACCATGCAACATGTATTAGAAGATACAGCAGCAACTGCAACCTACCTTTCTCCTTCACATGATTACCGTATGTTTATTTGCGCATACCTTGATGCATTGTGCCTCAATGTTGTCACAATTTAATTTTAATTACACGAATGTGGTCAAGTCAAAAGTAGAAAATGGCTGCCTGTTGTGTGTGACAGGTACACTCTAAAGTACTCTAAAGCAAACCCGTCTTTACAAAAAAGCATTACTCAACAGAGGCATACAAGCACATGTCATCCATCTTTCACACTGGACCTCAGAAGTGCTAAATAGGTTAACCAAGCTTCCTCAACAAGGCATCAATTTCCTGAAATTTGTTGCAGAGGCATGCCCCCCACCCCTCATTCCCACAATCCTAAGCAATCTATTGAGAGACCCAGACATCGTCATATGGGATGCATGCAGTGGCGTAACAATCGTCATAGCGACCGAGGTGGCCGCTATGGGGCCCGGCACACGGGGGCTCGGCCAGGGCCACCTGGGTCGCTATGGCATGTAAGGGTGCTGGCTGTCATTGACACAGTTCAGCAGCGGCCGCGGCGCATTTCCCCTCACAGCCGCTGCGGAGCTGTGTCAGATGGACAGGGCTGACAGGTAAGAGATCTCAGACCTGCCCACTATAGAGAGTCTATGGTGGGCTCTGCAGGGTCACTCGCCGGTGGGCTCTGCAAGTGGCATAAGTAGGAATCACAGGGCCCCATACAAAATTTTGCTATGGGGCCCTGTGATTTCTAGTTACGCCCCTGGATGCATGGGAACAAGTGTGCCCATGTCCCAACTTGGTTGGCAGTTGCAAAGGAAGCTTAGCGAAAACCCAAAGCACTCTGGAGGCACAGCCGTAAAAATAAAAGGTATGTGCTCAGATTGTGGCTATATTTAAGTGGTTCAAGCTGCAATGTCAATCATGACTGTTGAGAAAAAGGTTGACTACGACAACAGGTAATATGACACGGTCGCTGTTAATGAATGACATCCCTCCACCAAAACCCACAGACATGATCGGCACAGTGGCCTTGTCAACACCAACGATGAACAGATGAGGATGGAGAAAGATGGGATGAGCTGAGACAGAGACAGGTCCTGGACTTACCCCTCAGCCCCAGCAGCTGCCCCCGATGTAGGACTACCGCTAGTGGAGGTGGAAGGGTGGGAAGGAGATTGAAGGAAAAGGAGGTAGAGAGGGAAAATTGGGGGAAGGAAAGGGATAAAGCATGAAGAACACAAAAAATAAGAAATTATTGGCAGGACTTTCAGGGTGGAAAAATTCTATCTTGGGATTAAGATGTAACATTCCCAGGTACTACTAGACAGTGATAATATATCGAACATACAGCATAATACAATCTGTTTTCTGAAAAATAAGTGCCTGTGTAACTAACCATAAAAATAAAAAGTATACCACCACCATCATTGTTTTCAAGCATGTTAAAGAGAACCTGTCAGGAGACAAACATGGAAGCTGCCATTGCTGACTTGAACTATAGGGGTCAGCTTGGAGTATGACAGCTTCCCTTCAAACTGTAAGTGTCTCAGGGGGAGCAGGCCAGCAGAGACATTTCCTTGCCCAGCTACATACTCCAGTTCCTCTTAGGGGGTGCCCACAGCCATACAGCTAATAAACATAACCCTTTCATTATTTTATGGGTCTACCCCATAGCCTCCTTTCCAGCTGAATGCAAATGGTAAAGCCCATCATACAAGGCCCCCATAACTCGGCATATGAGGAGGAATTGCACGTCAGGATTGCTATAGTGCTCACCCACCTTAGAGAGTAATTATAGTAATCCCATGCAAAAACCTTATTTACAATTAGGATTGCCACCTGTCCGGGATTCACCCGGACAGTCTGGGTTTTGAATGCTGTGTCCAGGTTTCATCGAAGCAGAAACCCAGGACACATGATGTCAGGCAGACAGGGACAACCAAAATTAAGATAGTGGCTACTGGCCCCCCACTGAAAATAGTCTCAACTGTGATATTTACATATGAATGGGCGGCACTATTTACGTATGAATAAGCCATGACTCTTTCTCCCCAAAAAATGTCCGCGTGTCGCTAGAGTGTTCAGGATTTGCTTGAAGAAAAGGTGGCAACCCTATTTACAATCAACGGTCCTGCACAATGCAGGCCGCGATTGGCGCGCAGCCCCATTGATTTCAATGGTGCGGCAATCGCAGAAAAAAGGTAATTTTTTTGCAACACACGACTCGCGCCTGTTTTTGGAAGCACGGGCGGAATCGCGGCGGGAAACCGAGAGACCCGCATGACGCGACTGGGGTGCCATTAGAAAATAATGGCACCCACAGCGCGATCGGTGCACACCTAGGCGACTCCTGACCACGCGGCAATCCGCGCAGAAGCGTGCTCGATTGCCGCGCGGTGAGGTGTCGCCTAGGTGTGCAGCGGCCCTTAGAGGTATTGTACCTTCCCCAGCCTGTGACCAGAAAGTGCAAGGAGAAGCAGGACACCGATGAGCACATCCTTTTGCTCACTTCTACTATCAGCATGCGCCTTGCACCGAAGCAAACCCGATTAGCTCCTTGTGCTGCTTCTCCCTCCCCCTCTATAAGCTCTGCCGCACAGACTGTATAGTACAATGCAAGAGGGAGTCAAATTAAGGTATATTTGTCTGGAGTTCACCTTCAAACTGGCATCATGGGGGGTAAATAGGCCGCAATGCACCAAAAAAATAATGATGTGCCCTGCCCACGAATAGCAATTTCAATTATTTGTTCCATAAAAAATTGTACCCACCCATGGAATTTACCCCCAGCCCACTCTGTGTCCGATGCAAGCTCTGTTTCAAACACTTCTTTGACATTTGAGAATCATGGTGCCAGTGGAAGTTTATTATACATTACTTTATGAAAATGGACCCTAACTTTAATGGTGGCAATTGCAGCTGCTTCTCTGCTGTTCTGTTCTCTTGTGGGGGAATAGGGTGAAGGAACCCTGTGTAATACACAAGTTTGCCCTTGCACAGGGCTGAGGACTCTCTGCCCTTACCCATGTGATAGCGCTGGGTCCCCGAGTGACCACTTGGCCCCTAAATATCCAAACACTGACTGCATCTGATTGGCAATTTTCCACCTGGCTCCTTCAAAAAAAAGTTTATTGAAAAATGTTTATTGAAAAAAACTTTTGTTGAGGCAGGTTGTGCAGACAGGGCCACCCAAAGCTCAAAATTCAGCAGGTACCCGAATGTTCCCCCCTCCAGAAAGTAGTGGGAAAGTCACTTCCCTTCCCCATGCAAACAGAACAGGAAGGCATAGAAGGGATGGAGAGTCAATGAACCAGTGAGGATCAGCATGTGCAAATCACAGGTTGACAATAAAATGTTTTCCCCTTTTTTTTAACAAAGGTTTTTTTTTTATATGATATTTTTATACATTCAGGAGTATTTAATATTGGACTGCAATGAATAGTTATGCCGGAATAAAGAAACATGATTCCTTATTGGTTGATATAGGGTGTACTGCACTGTATATGTTTACTTACCATACTTACCTGTAACTTCACTCCAACATGGTAAAACCGCTCGGCCTTTCCGGCGCTAAACATTACTTACACATGCGTGTCACAGCTCCAAAAACTCGAATTGTCATCTAGGGGCCTACTGCTTTGGAAATCATTCTGTAACTACATATGACTCAGAAGTATATTGGTTTCTTGGGACACACAAGATAGTTTTTTTTTGTAATATTATTTCCCAAAAATGTTATAATTTTTTTATATATATATAAAAAAGGCAGAAATAAAAAAAAATATGCTTGTTTTCCATTTTGCCTAATGGCATTTATAGAACCAGTGTTACTGTTTGGCAGACTACGGTGCTTTTTGGTCCCATAGACTTCAATGGGAAACTTTGTGCAACAAAACAGGTGTGAACAGGGGCTATAGAAATGAATGGGATTCCTGGTCTTTAGCGCTTTGCTGCGCTTAGCTTTGAGTGACAAAAACGCGTAGGTTTTGTCGCTCAAAGCTAATTTGTGTGTCGGGGTACCCAAAAGTAATGCAGGTATGTTTTGGAGGCTCATTAAAATATAACCAAACTTTTTTTTTTTTTTTTAATTAGACAGAGTGGTCATGGTTTAGTTGCCCCAATTACCAATATCACCAGCAATGAAAGTGAGTTGCCACCAGAACAGGAATAGTGGGTATATCTCCCAATGGAGACACTTTCTCCTGTGACAACAGTCTTAGAGGGGAAATCCGTCACATTGGAAAGATATCCTTTCATTTCCTGCTGAATCTACAGGACAGGAAGTGAAAGAAAATGTCCCTAGTGAGACATAGATGGTTAAAAAAAACTTGATAGTGGTTTTAACTCTCCTCTACTCTATCCAAAATGAAAAAAGGTTTGGCTTTAGATATACTTTAAGGACCCATTCAAAAGAAAGGGCTACCTTTGAAAATGCTGCCTATTGGAGAGGCGGTTAGTGATGTCACCAATATTGTAAATCATTTCACGTCATGTATTTTTAAAAGATACTCCATATAGACACCACACAATTCTTCTAATAACTTTATCAGTCAAAAAAACCTCTTCTGGCCACCTCCCTGGTTTAGTTTTAGTTTATGGGGGAGGCTTGAGTTTCCATTGACTACATCACCTTAAGCAGTGAGAATGCCCCTATTCACCACCACTCTGCATTCCCTATTGACCTTATTCCTTTTTGACCACCACTCTGATTGGACAGTGGAATGGCAGCTGGCATAGCTTTGCCATAGAATCAGAGAAGGTCAAGCCTCGGCCACAAAGTAAAACTAAATCAGAGAAGGGCGAAGAAAATGTTTTTGGTGCTTTTAAATGTAATATCTTGTGATATCCACTCTAAGCCAGGCCTCTTATTTTTAACAGATTACAACAGTGTACGGCTACACTTTAACTACAATGGTTTAACGTTTTCTTCCCCATCTATACACACTCTTGCCATTTAATCCAGTTAGCCATTTAACTTAAACCATAAACAAAAAATATCCTTCACAACTTACTCTCTGTGAGGGGTATTGAGATGACCACTCCATTTCCGGTTCCCACCCAGAGGCGATTGCCGGCAATAAGAAGAGCTGTGATTCGCACAAAGGAGAACCCTAATTTTCCAGTTCCTGATTGTGAAAGAGAATAGAATAGAATGATTCCAAATAGCACGAATGGATAATACTTACTTTTATTTGTTGTATATTATAACAATGTGTAATTAGAGAATAACAGGTCATAACAGGTCAATAACAGGTCAATAGCATGTCTGAAAGAGGAACTATGCAACTTATAGCAACCAATCTGTCTCTTGTTTTTATCGCCTGCGCTAGAAAGCCTAACTAAAGAATATGATGGGTTGCTATGGGCAAAACAGGCAGTTTTGTTACATATTTTTATAAGGGATTCTTTTAATCCTTAAAGGTAAACTGCTTATACAGTTCATGCATTCATATGAACAGACCTAGTTGTTGCAGCTATATAGGGCATTCTGTCATGACAGAGACACTCAACGCAGATCCTCCCTCTGATGTGTTTTGCACACTGGGGTTGGTACTGGGGCCTAATCATAGAGCTCTAAGATTAGGCCTAAGTAGCAGGTGAAACACATCAGAGGGAGGACGTGGGTGGAGTGCCTTTGTCATTGCTGGCAATATACATTTTTTTGTACACAAGGGATCAGCGCTGTGCAGCTTCATTACTTTTGTATGGAGCTGTGACATGAGTTGATCAATTCTGACCACCCATACAGCCATAAGAAGCCATATTTTACTGAATATAGAGGAAACAGACCCTTAGTATTGAGCTGAGGTTGTATAATATGAAAGTGAGTGGGGTAATGATGATTGTGCTGGCAGTGGCTCTAGTAGTCAAGACTAAGAGCATTAACCCCATGCTCTGGGCATGGTCAGAAGCAATGCAATCCCTCTTATGGAGATAAAATCTTAGACCACTCACCTAACATTTTACTGACATAAGGCTCAATGTCCACATCCTGAAGGTGTTGGTGGGTGTGCGCATGGTACAACCTGAGCGTGGAATCTAACCGAATCGATACCCACACTCCGTCTCCGATCCAGGCTAGCTGTCGCACCTGGCTCTCCCTTCGAGGATGAGCATCAAATGACTTCTGCAAACCAAAAAGAAGAAAATAAATAATAACAAATGACTTTTCATCCTGCGTTGAAAAAGTATTCTACAGGTATGTTTACGTTAGCAAACACTAGGCAAAACCAATAGTTACTTAACTATCTTCTACATGTCCAAGATTTCCATACAGTAAAATGGCCTCTTGACCTCTAAGCTTCATTCTAAAGGAAACCCCATCCCAAGCTGTATATATGATTAGGTAATACACCTATATTAGAAGCAAAATTCTCTGACTGCCTAAATAACCCGACCCATACTACCACCATGATGTATTGGGCTCTATGGTTGCGTTGTCTTCTTTGGTTACCTCTATCTGCATGGTTTTGGGTTGAATCACGTGTATTTTGTTCTTATATCCACACCAGACTCTGTCATATACTACAGCCATGCAACGGATGGAATGATGTGTGTGTCCGAGGTCCATCAAGTGGTAATTACTGAGGTCCCATTGTCGGTCTTCAATATAAAGAAGAAAAGAAAAGATTATACTCAAGCAGCAAAGATATTAAGAGGCATTCAATCTTGTCTGAGTTGTCTGAGAACAATTGAAAACGTAGCAGGAGAGAACTGCTATTACCTTCTCCCCGGTGGAAAATGGCCAATGTCCCGTCTGCTAGAGCCACCAAAACCCGTCCTTTGACATGCCTGAAAGAAGGAAGATTGAGAGATGAAGAAAATGAGAGTTTTATACTTATTAGACGTTTCTAGTGTCAGAACCACATGCCCTTATACAAGCCACGTGGAATACACCATCAAACCTTGACATGCCTGTGAATTATGCCAGCACTCACATCTACAATTCCAGTTCCATGTTTTTTTAATGAACTATATCATCCAGTTAGTTATCTATGAATAACATAACTATTTCCCTTTCCTGCAGCTTAAAAAATATTTTGTCCTTTACATGGGCACATAAAAGAACATTTCCTTTTGCCACATTTTTTGAAACGTACATATGTAAGTAACTTAATACAATGTGCACAAATGTGCTGTCAACCCATATCAGCACCACTCCCCCAACACACACACTGTCAAATGCCATGATGTTATTGGAATTTACAGGGACGCAAGGATTGATTCGAAAACTTTAATCACACACAGCACAAGGTCTCTGCACTTTAGCACTGTTGTTACCTAAGAAGTACTTACAACCAGGTCAGGTTCTTTTACATCCTGGTGCCCATCCAGCAGCCTGGGGGCCACATAGGGCCATAGCACATATTGTGGTGCCCCCAGTGCCCCTGCAGGCATTAGTCTGTGTTTTCCTTACCTAGTTGCTTACTCAAGCCAGTAAAGTAAAACGATTTTTAAACTGGCTCTCAGTAAAAAAAAAAATGGTTTGGTTTATTTCCTTTCACACTAGCTTAGCTTTTCTGGGTTGCCCATCCCTTTTCTAATAGATCTTGCTGAAAGAAATATCAAATGCGGCAAAGGTAATTTTTAAGAGGGTGAAGGGAGCATAAATGTGGCAGCATTACTTGTAAAGGGGTTACAAGAAGTTGTAATAGCAGTGACTTGTAGCAGTCTCATGTACCATGTCTCCAGTTTACTGTCATCTACTAAAGCACATCCTCAATCTCCAACAACTCCTATAGCATGTCTGTAGTCTCTGACCATCTCCTGTTGCATGTGTCCAGCTTGGACACGTGGGAGGTAACGTGGGAGGTAACAGGCTCCACCACAACTACCAATAGCCATGAATGGCCTGTCAACACCAATGCCCTTCTGATAATAAAATGACTAGTATGTACTTACACAAGACTCAATACTGAATCCTTTAGCTTTATAGAATGCAGACACTTCTTCCAGTTGGAAACTGCTGAGTGAACATACAGCCTGAAGGGTGAAAGGGATTATTCATTAGTGGTTTATACAAATACAAACTCTTGTCAAGTGTTGAACTTTGATATCAGCCACACTCACGATTAATTAACAAGAGAGCACAAAAAGCAGTGGTGGTCAGCACATCCAGTTTCCTCTTTTTTTTAATAAATCAGAACAATGAAAGATGACTGGTTTCTGCAGGATACCGTGCTTTACCTGCTGGAAGTACTGAAGGGCACACTGCATGTAAGCACAGGTCTGCACATCTATCAAAGTGCATACAACTGCTTTTTTGGTCCATTTGTGTGCCTTGCAGTAACCTCTACACATCATGGAGGATGTACGCAGGTCCGCAGACAGCTGCTGATAGCTGTCAGCAGAGAAGAGCAAGCGTGAAGTTTCAGTTCTTCATGCCCGTGTAAGGGCAGTCTTATTGAAGAGAGGCCAATGTTTGGGGGTTTTTTTTTCAATCCAAAGTATAATCATGAAATGCATTATTTCAACTTGCAACCGAAAATTGTGTTGCCCTTCTTATGCTGACATACCAGCCATTTTGTGCTCCAAGCCACATTGTGGGTGCTGCACTTGTGCCTGCAGAAGTCTCGTTGCTTGGCTCTGCCTCTTGCTGTGCTGTATTTACTTCTGGCTTTAGATGTCCATTTTCACTAAAAATGGGAAGAAAAGAATAAGCAAATTACATCTTCCCACAAAACATTCTAACACATTCTCCTTTCAAGTGAATGAAAACCTCTCAATGAACTTCTCATATTTTCCCCCTTTTGGTCTGGAAAATATATGATTTGTCATATAATTTAAGACATCTAAAATACCAAATTATATTAAAAAGCACTGTTTATCACTGAAAGGAAAAAAAAACTAAAGAGTTTACATGGACACTACACTGAGTGGCCAGATTATTATGACCACCCAGTACTTCGTTGGGCCACGAGATGACTCCACGAGATGACTTCATTGGGCCGCCTCGAGACTCCACGAGATGTTGAAAGGTAATGCGAGGAATCTGACACTGCACTGTTGCCCTTCTGTTGTCTTGTACCAGTCTTGCCACTCTCCGTTCTGCCCTAACATTGACTAGTCGCTGACGGCCACAATTCGCATGTTCAGACCCAGATTTTCGGCTGACAGTCCGGTCTTTAAACACTTTAACAACAGCTGCTCTTGAACATTTAACGAATTCTGCTGTTTTCCTGATACTCACTCCATGGCACCGGGCGCCAACAATCATCCCACGTTTAAAGGCTGTTAAATCGCGTTGTTTACCCGTATCTTCAGAAAAAATCACTTCTACTATCGTGGTAAACAACCTGCTTCCCTATTTATAATGGTCTGGCCCTCTAGCAACTTCAGCGCGAAATTATAGCTAATTATAGCTAATTTGCCTGCAAACGTCAGGTGGTCATAATAATCTGGCCACTCAGTGTATAAGTGAACCTTTTACATTGTCTGTACCTGCAGAGCCTGCCATTGGCCACAGGTGCCGGGTCAGTGAAGACATGCTCTGTGAGAGTCCCTGATCGGACCTGTGATGGTTCTGCTTCGCTGGTGGCGGCTTCTGATACCTCGAAGGCTTCCGTAGCTTCCTCTGCTGATTGGTGCTGGTTGAGTTTACCATTACTGGTAGTGGAGACCTCCCCTGAGGGAAAGATGGCATTATCACTATTATCACAGTACTGCTGAAAAACTCATGGCTCAGATAAAGACAATCTAGAGGCTGGAGCAAATATTGGAGTGCCCTTATCGTTAAATAATCCATGAGTTTTGAACCGAATTTCAGTGGGGGGTTAACAGTCTGTACTAGATTTTTATTACTGTTCATATTATATCTTTTAGATTGTAAGCCCTCACGGGCAGGGCCCTCCTTACCTTCTGGTCCTGAATTGTGTTGTGATTGTTATGTCTTCCTTATATTGTAAAGCGCTGCGCAAACTGTTGGCGCTACATAAATCCTGTATAATAATAACAGTGACTAATAGGTAGCAATACTGATCACTGTGACTCTAAAGCTAGCCATACATGCATAGATTTATCTTGTCAGCCTGAGGGTTGTCGAAGTTTGTCGAGATGGGTGGTGCTCACAGGGCCGCCACAGCTTGAAATTCAGGCTGTGTATGGCTGCATTAAGAAATATTTCCTATTTTCTTGAATTTTTCTTGCCTTTAACCTTTTCTTTTCCTCATTTTTGTCCTTTTCTTCCCTTTCCTTGATCTCCTTTGCATTAGTCCCCTTTTCTTGCTTTCCTGTTGTTTCCATTTTGTTGTTTCTTGCTTTTGTGTTTTCCTTCAGTTGTCTTGCTCTTTCCATCCTTTGCTCACTCCCCTCCCTCTCCTCTCCTTTTACCTTTCTGTGTCTTTGCTTTTTCTTTCCCTTTGCCTTCCTTCCTTTCTTTTATTTTCCCATATATTTACCTTACCTACATTTTATTTCCCATTTTATGTCCCTATTTTACTCCTTCTTTAATTTCCTCCTTTCTTCTTGTATTTTCCTTTTCACTTTTTCTTCCCTACTCATTGTTTTGCCCTCCTTTTTTCTCTGATTTTCCTTTTTTCTGCATCTTCAATTGAAAATATTACCCAAACCTCGAATGGCAATAAACAACATATCATAGTGGGGACATTTAGTATACTCCTGTTTTTTTTGACCTTTCTGATGTTTATGTCCCGAATATCACCAGCCACTGCTGCTCCTAGCATATGAGGTAATGAATCTTGTGCTCAGCATTCACTGGAATGTGGAGATTATGAACCACTAACCCTGACTCTTGTCCAGTACTGGGGTATCACCCCGAGAGGAACAGTTGCTTCGTGGCACATTGCATCTAGTGGCGCACCCTACAATGGTGATTCCTGCCAGGACCCCGTCAGTGTCACCTGAGTCCTCGGGGTTGACATCTCCCTCCAGAAATATCTCGCCCGGTGGGTAATCGCTGTCACTGGCAGCTGCAGAACACAAAGTTACAGGTTAGGAAGAAGTAAAATGACTTAAAGTGATCTACTACACAATCGATAAAGTAAATATATTAATTATAATCATGAACTTCTAAACAACCAAAAGATAAGGGTGCAATGTTTTACAGGATTTAGGTTTTCATGCCATTAATCACTCCACTCTCCATTTCAGAGTGTGTTTATGTTGATAGTGGGCAGTAACGTGAGCCTGATACATGATGGGCTATGACTATCTAGAGACCTCCATCCACCTGCTACTTGAGAGCATATAAGCCACTAAGTATAGAAATACTTGTTACAGTATCATGTGAAGTATCTCAAACCACTAGACTTGTGCGCCGTCAAAAAATTTGTTCTGTTTCGAAATATCCGTTATTTCGTATTTCGTAATTCGTAACTGAACTCAATTCGGATTCGGATTCGTACGAAATACGAAATTTCGTTAGTGGCGGTTATATTTTCGTAACTTTACGAACATTCGTTATGATGAAGTTAAAAAGCAAAATACCTTTGTTAATATTGGAGTGGTAGTTGTTTTTTTTAATCCGAAATACGAATTCCGTTAACGGATTCCGTATTCCGAATTCCGTATTTTTTTTTCCGTATAAAAACTACCATCAACTCCAATATAAATGTACTTTGCTTTTTACCTTCAATATAACGAATGTTCGTAACGGAACGAAAATACGTCAACGGAATTTCGTATTTCCTACCTGTATTTGTAATGCAACTCTCAGCAGCAGAAGAGAACCTCTGATTGGTCAACCAAAACGAAATACGAATTCCGTTAACGGATTCCGTATTCCCGAATTCCGTATTTCGGACTTTAAAAAAAACTACCATCAACAGCAGCAGCGGATCCGTATCTCGGATTAAAAAAAAATCTTGTCATGCTGTTCAACCTCATTTACAGGGGTAATATTAGTTCCTGTTTCAAAGAAATTCGGATCCGAAATTCGTTAACGGAATTTCATATTTCGGATATAATTCGGAAACTGCCATTCGGATTTCGGATGCTCCGAAATTCGGAATTTCAGGAAAATTCGTACGAATTTCGATTCGTAACGAAACGAATCGCACATGTCTACAAACCAGTAATCAATCAAAGGTAGATGTAACTTTAGAACATCCTATACTGCCAGGATAGGGGACAGGAGGTGGTGTTGGGCAGAACTGACCAAGTGGATACCAGCCTGTAGATAACAATCAATAGATCCTTCATGAATAATTAATATTTTATCTCCTTACAGCTTATTTTTTATTTAAAGATATAGGAGTATTCATAGGAAGGTCTTAAAGGTGTCAGTCATCTAATATACCCAATAAACACACTTTTGGACAACAAATATTAGGAGTAAGCGAATGCGTTTCCTATGGACTCCGTCATCTCCCTCTAAATTCCATTAGAATATCTGCACTGCTGCAGTACAGATTCATTTAGGTCACAAGTTATATATTACAGTATGGTAGTTCAGACTCTTAAGCATAAAAACAGAATGACATAGGCTGCCTTTTTTCCCTAAAGTGTAAGGGCCTGTGTCGATGGGCTTTTGCTCGCTTCAAATGGGTTTTGCATTCCTGTACAAGTCTATGGGAATGCAAACCCGCTTGCAGCAAGTCAAATGCAAGCCAGAAGGTAGGCAACTGCAGGTCAAATGTTTCTGAATGAATGCACTACATTCTGAATGATCTCAGAAGAATCTCAAATTGATGTCAAACTGATGCCATGGACACAAGCCCAAAACCTGTCACATGCCCCAACTCCATCTTTTGGGCAAAAAAATACTTAGAGTCACAACTAGCATATGGATAAGTTACCAAAACATGTATATTTAAGTGGCTTTCAGAAGTGTTTTGTTCTGTTAAAAGTCAAATGTACGACCAACTAAATAACTGTTCTTCTCACTCTACTGGAAAATATCTCATAACAAAATGCCAATAGCCTTGATAAAGGCACCTCCCCATTTTGTTTTAGTTAGAGGAAAACAGACACATCGCTTTTTTACCACATTGATGGACAAAATCTACACTGACCTCATCATCTGCGTAGAAACCCCTCATTCAAAAAAAAATCACCAGTCTATAGGAAAAGAGTGCTTACAAGTAGAAATCTTAAAAAAGGTTTGCTAAAATCACAGCAACATATATAGTAGAACTTGGGGATGGATTATTTTTTATAGAAAAGATGGAGTGTTACTAAACAGATGGAAATGCAGATGGAAATGCAGCATTATCATACCAGGAATACTGGAAATGCACAGCACATGGGCATTGCAGACTGTGAACTGGTCTACCAGGGTGCCCGGCTGGTTGGCATCAATGATGACAACTTTGCTTGTAGACAAAGTGCTGGTAAGGATCCATACTCGGCTGGAGGTGGTATCAGCTTCATGAAGCTCCTTCGTCTGCAGATGGAATTGATCCAATATTAGACACATAACACACTATTTAAACCATAAATATACCATTCTCACAAATCTAATACTGTAAAGGCACTCGGATAATAAACCAAGGCTTCACTTCTTTTCTTCTGCTCTGTCTGCACTGGCATTGAAGTTACTATTTTGCTAAACTGAAAAGTACCATTATTTCTGTGTCAAAGTCTGTACAGCTCTGTCAATAAGTGAATACAGAATGTTTGCTTTTTACAGGCTACAGTTACCCCATAGCGGCAAGTAAAACTTGAGAATGCCCCATTGGGCAAAATGGGTACTTTGAAAGCATCAACAGTCAGAACAAACACGATAAGAGATACTGCCTGTAATGTATTATTTTGCTGCCCTACCTTACAATATTAGTTTTTCCAATACACTATGTAAAGTGGAGTTACAATGTCAGTGTAATTACTGTATATATTTATAGGGAAATGTCCATGATAAATTCATCTTTGTTAAATTTCAGCTTTGCATGGTACCATGCAAGTTGACTGATATTCTGGCTTCGTATATGTCTTAGAAACATCAGAGTTCCAATATGCCCACCTGACCTCCCAGTTCCATCTAACTGCTGTGGTGTACAAAGTCAAATGATAGTGTCACATACTTCCAATGGATTCTCCATAATGAAAATAAATAATACGGAGCCCAATTGCAAGACAGTGCCACCCTCATTATTTGCTTGTTTGAGGAGGTGGAGACTTAAAGTGGAAATAAGAAACCATCACATTGTAAGAGTGGCTAGTCAGCTATGTAACTGGTAATGTCAGATATTATTATTAATAACATTTTACAGGATTTATATAGCGCCAACAGTTTGCGCAGCGCTTTACAATATAAGGAAGATATTACAGTTACAATACAATTCAAAACAAGATGGCTAGGAGGGCCTTGCCCCTGAGATATGCCAAGAGCTACTAATGAGTTTTGTTCCTCTTAATGCTGAAACACATAACATTTTATAAGTAGGAGAGGTATCACTTGACCCATTTGCTTTGTTCTCACCTTCTTCTTCTCAGGTGACGTATGCGTGCTTTTGCTCTCCCCTTCCACTTCTGATTCAGTCGACAGAGGATCCCGACCAGTTACTGCTTTGACGCCAACTGCAGATTCATCCTCAACTGGCTTCCAACCAGTTAAATCCACTCCAGCTGCACACCACAACTATGAAAAACAACAAAAAGCCTTTATCATCTCAAAACAGAGGGGGCAATTTAATAAAGTCTTTGCCAGTTCTGGAGTTTTGGTTATGGCTATATCTAGAACTCCTGTGGCAACTATGGCTAGGCACCAGCAGACGGTTATGCTATTACCTTCATAGTGGGGTCTTTCTCCACAAGAGGCCTGCAGTAGACAGGCACTGGAACATTCTTCATGCGATTATCCTCTTGTCCTCCATTCGGACTCAGCTATCAGTTATCAAGACAAAACATGTGAAAGTTCTTTGAGGATTTATAAATTGTGTGAAGGGTAACTGAAGTATAAAGTGTGCCGTCACAGTTTAAGCTGGTACTTTTGTTGGGTAATTAGTTGGGGTGCTCAGCCAGATGGAACCAGCTCCAGCAAAAGTTCCAATAAATCAGAAAATCTGGTGGTATGCAGGAAATGTATAGTCTGGCACAGCATGTTTCGTCTGAAACACAAACGGTGTGGTTCACAAACACATTAGAGATAATCAGATGTCCTGTGCAACAATGGATTTATCCTGTGTTGGTGTAACTTCAAAGCAAACCTGTGCTATGGCCAACCACAAAACTGGCCTCTCCAGTGACTTGTATCTTACACAGGACTTTCTGTTCCTCTTTGTTGTGAGGTGAGTGCTGGGGAATTTTTGCATTGATCATACCTGATGATGCATATTCGGCAAAACACATTGTGGGACATTTATTAAGCAAATTAGCAACACAGTGTGATATAAATCAGTCTATATGACAGTTCTGTGTATTTGAGACCCGTGTACCTATGATCCTGGGAAGCCAACTGCAACAGATTTGCAAAGGTCTGTGACAGATTTATGACTGAACATGAGACAGGTTTTTATTCCACACAGACACACACACACACAATTAGGGAAGTGGTCAGGTTTTATTCTATCCCAGTGCTACTGTAGAGCAGCCGATGGAGGTATTTATAGGGGCGCATTTATCAATTAAGTGGCACAGCAAGACAATTCTAAATGGGAGCAGTGAGACAGATTGTGCCAGAAATGTACTACAAGATTACACTTTGAATGGTATCCTGATATCACTGCAGCATACCACATCGTAATGCATGTGTGTTGTGGTGCACTGCAGCAATAAAAAGGGGTATGTGTTTTTTTGTTCAAAATTCTAATGGGCCCACATACTTCCTACCTTTTGGACAATTATCTTTGCTATCCCCCCACTCCAGTCCCCAGTCACCAAAATAATATGTACCACCCCTGGCCACAACCTATGGATATGCCAAGTAACAAGGCTACTCTATTGTTATCTGTCTGTCCTCCATGCTGACAGCCCTAAGATCCCCCTTGTCTTTAGTACGCCCATTTAAATGTGTAAGCTGCACAATTTCTTTTCCCCCTGCAATCATATATAATCAAGAAGAACATCATAATTATTTTCTAGTCTCTTGAGAGGATCCAAGATATCCAGATACTGATTAAGCACACACCTCCCAAATGTGTCTCATTTAGAGGGACTGGCCCTCATTTGGAACAAACCCCCCTATCCCTCATTCCTCCTTGGTTGTCCCTCTTCTTGGTCTGATGTACAGATATCTATGGAAGTGTTCTAAATAACTACAAAAAGTGTTATTCTGCACTGAAACCTCCATCCTATCTCCTAATTATCTTGTTTGCTATTTTGAAAAAAAGTTAAAGGAAAATGGAAAACAACAATTCTGGGCTTAAGCCATCATTTTGTCATATACATTTTTATTGGCCCGCATCACTGGGGACATGGCAGGGGTGTGCCCATTCCCTAAATACATTGTGCTGGAAGATGTCCCTCTTTCTCATCTCAGAATTTTGGAGGTATTAAATGGCTGAATCCACTTCCTGTAAACAATAAGTCATCTCAAACCGATGAAGTGATGTTGAGCCACCAACCTGCTTGTACTTAGCAGGTAAGCTCCACCCACAAGCCTGCAGGCGACCGTCGTCATTGCGCACATGTTCCCGCACTTGGCGGTACTGCTCCCGTTTCTGCTCACGGCGAGCTGAGGATGCGCAGTCGCTGAGGAGAGAAGCCACAGTGTTACTTCTCAATCTAGAAAAGAAGAGAGAGGGAGAGGGTGCAGAGCGTCAGGGGGGAGAGCAGAAAGCAAAGCAGCAAGCGTTACAGGCAGTGCATGAGCAATGTTCCTAGTAAGCAGAGTGACCTGGAAATGAAAGAATCACAAGATTATCCCAATGGGAGCTTCACAATGAAGGGCTGCATTGCTGGACTGCTGTTTACTGCAACCTTTATTTTTGAGATGAACCTGTCAGCCTGTTTATTGTGACACCTACTCAATTTTACACTTGTTAAAGGAAACTGGCTGACTAAGAGCAGACACCAAAGGGCCTGCTTTGGGCTTATGCCGATGGCATCAGTTTGACACCAGCTGGAGATGGTTCTGAGATCATTCAGAACAGTGGCGGAGCTAAGGAACAAAGGGCCCTGGTGCAAGATTTTTTTTGGGCCCCCCCCCAAATAAAAAAAACCGGGACCCGGCAGAGCCAAGCAGAGACCCTGCTGAGCCTAACAGAGATCCCACAGAGCCCATCTGAGAGTGAGCCTGCATAGACTCTCTATGGTGGGCTTTGCAAGGTCTCAGGTGGGCTGGTCAGGCTCCCTTTACCAAGAATTCATCAACGTCCGAATGTCCTCCTTGTGACCTATATTTCACTTGCTTCAAGTGGGTTTTGCATTCCTATAGACTTTTATGGGAATGCACAACCCATGTGCAGCAAACAAAAGCCCTTTCATGCCAACATAAGCCTTGAGATGCCCACTACTATCCTTATAGACTCTTCCGTGCCCTTGTCTGATTTTGTTTCACTTTGTTACTAGGCCTGACTTTTTAGACTTTGCAGTGTGGTATCTGCCTTAGTCATCATGCTTGCTTAAAAACATTAAAATGGAGCACAAGTATACTTCATACATTTAAAAGTCCTGCCTCAGAGTAGGTACTACAGAGTGTCAGCGATTACCTTTATTGCCCCAAACCCAATTCCTGCACTGTTCCAATTTAGTTCCTCTTTATTACTAGAAAGCTGACTTCTGAGATGATCCTTGGCTCACTGCCATCTCATTGTCAAGTAAGAACACTTCATTGGCCATTAAAGTATATGTCCAGGCAAAACTTTTTATTTTGTTTTGTAAGAAGTAGAAGAAGGAAGAGAATCTCTGCTTGACTTTACTGCCATCCTGGGCTCCGTTAGCGAGATTTCTCCTCACCTACTGTTACATTTTCACCGGGACGTGAAGGAGAATCTCCAACAGCAAACTTATGTAAGGGAGTAGAACCTCAGGCAACTTTCTATTGCTGAGACCTTCACCTTTCACACCTTAAAGCGACACAAAACTCAGACGTTGAATCTTGGGAGCTTGGAGTGGTGACTACTTTACAACACACACAGGGACCATGGGGAACAAAGTAACCACCCTCCAGATGGAAGGACAGTGTCAGCACCAATTCAGATATGATTGGAGGGTCTGCAGCCAAGTGATGCACAAATAAGATACATTTTGTACTTGAATGTATTTTTAAGATTAAAGTTCTGAGTTTATGGTCACTTTAAGGAGGGTGTATGGCCAACAAAGATACCGTAACAATAGATACCTTTCTCAAGGTTATATCTATCAGGGGGACCAAAGTGTCTCTGAAACGTCTGTGTTTTATAACTTTTACTGCACAAGCCATGCTATCATTACAACAAAGATCCCAGTAAGACTGTGAGATCTGATTTTTGGTGTGCTGGTCTCTTTTGCAGCATTGTTGCAAATTTCCCTTCATTCCCTGTCTGGTGAAACTTTGTTACCCTGACATTAAAGCAGAACTACAATCTCCTATCTCTTAAAGCCAAGGAAGGTACCATCTTAGCTTCCATTTGGATTGTAGTTGCCATGGTGCTGCACATGTGATCAGCTATAAAACCAGCCTTTTGTTGGCTAGAAAGTTCGGTTGAGAGCTGAAAAAAGCACACTGACAACCTTGACAGTTGGCATGCCTTAAAAGGAACTATTTTGGAAGATATTAAATTCGTGGGTTAAGTTTTTCTTTAAATGAAGGAACATTTCTCTAGCAGAGCCCTAGATATTAGTGTAAACCCCGCAGAATTTGTACTCATTTTGCACTCTATCCAAAATGAAAAATACATTTTGACTAGACATACACTTTAAGGGCATTAGACAGGGCACCTGCAGGTAGGTGGGGCTTAGCCAAAAAGACAAAGAAGTAAGCTTACCAGTAACAAATTATAACTAAATCAGAGAGGTGCACAGAGAAAGGTTTTATTGCTAATAAAGGTAATGGCAGACAATATCTGTAGTACCTGGACCTTGATACACTGACAGGTTCACCCGAAAATATTCATCTCCACATCACCGAGATTAGTAGGAGCAGTATGCACGAGCTATGGGCAAGCAGCAGGTGTAAATGCAAAGGCTGTGTTATGGTGTAATCAGAAACTGTGTTTGTAAGAAGTGACCCTACTGGACATTCTCGCTGGGTTGGATTAATGCTATTATTACGTGCAAACCATGGCACACACCTTTTTGCTTTTGTATTATTTGTTAGTAGCGTACACATTGCAGGTTAAAAAGGAGTGAATGGTTAGTTCAATGGGATTAATTAAGGAAGGAAGGCTGCTTACAAAAAAAGAAAGGAAATGCTTTGGTCATAATTATAAATAGAAATAAACAATTCCTTAATTTATCGCTAAAATTACACATGGAAAATAATCTTACATCATAGATTTTGAAGTATGTGAAAAGAACCTCACAAACGTTATTTTAACAATAGGGTAACATATACAGAAATATGTTGCAGTACGAAGGAATTCTGTAATGAGAAAAATGTTTAGGTTGCTATTTATGTTCCTTATTTCCTTCTGAAAATACTGGTTGACTTGCTGGTATTCTGACTTGTATGCTCTTTCAGGATAGGGCTTCACATGTGGTTGTATCCTAAGAACAAACAAGAATCGGCAAAGCTCAAACTCCACGCTGATTCAAAAGCTCTTCTAGGGGGCATTTGGGACCCCTGCAGAGACCTCTGCTTACTTAACCCTTACAGATAGCAAGGGTTTTGCAGCATGCTGGCAGAGGACAGTTTTTTTCAATGTAGGCTGTGGCTGCTTTCTAAAGACAATACATTGTAAGACTTTTGTTTGATGCACCTGGAATGTATTTAACTCATTTAAAGCCCATCAACAAGCACAATAAGCTTACTGGTTTTAAATTAGTTGAACACTCCATTTCCTCTAAAGCTGCCTGTTGTAATGTACTTCTATCTTTACCCCCACAAATTGTATTATTTACATGGGGGTGGAAGTCCAGCTCCAGCAGTACTTCTGTGCCCGTTATAGGTCTCATAGGTCCCAGCGCTATGGCTCCATCTCCACCTGCCGCTCCTCCTGGCCATTCACAAAATGAGGTCAGGGGGTATATATTTTGTTAATGGTAAGGAGGAGAGGGAGGTAAAGATGTGAGAATAGTGCTGGGGTCCAGCACTTATAGCTGGAGCCAGGGCTGTCCCTATAATGAGGTAATGAGGCAGCCTGAGGTTGTTGCCTCAGATGGCATCTCATTGGGTCTTTTCTGTCCATAGCTTCCCAGGTTGCCAAGAGAAGGAAATGCAGCGGGAGCTGGACTTTCACCAACCGGTAAACAATAACATTTGCGGGTGGAATGAAGAAGCTAGTGTACAATATGGCAGGTGGCTTTAGAGGAAACGGAGTGTCCAAGTAATGTAGCTCCCAGATTTCTGCTTTAAACTGAGAGTTTTGTTGGGCTTCAAAGCGCAACTCCAGCCAATAGAGTATAGAGTAAGGTGAGATGTTATCAAGTTTTTATTTCTATTTGTGACCCCATCAAACCTTTCTCTATCCCAAACAAAATGAAACGTTTCGGCTGGAGTTGGGCGTTAAGGCAATATGTGTACAGAACTGTAGTATCAAAGACAATGAACTTACTCATCAGGGAAGAACTCTATGGTGCGTCCTCCTGTGGATATCTGGCACATGGTGTGGCTGCGACGTTGGCTAAACCCAGCTGGTGTTGGGGACTTGTAGTGGATGTTGACAGAGGGGTAGCTCCTCTTTGAAGGAGGAGGGCTGGATGATGAACTGAATAATCTGCTGAAGCTAAACACAAAGAAAGAAGAGTAAATAAACACAAAATAGAAAATAAATGCCCCTTTTTTTAAAAGTCAGTTTTACACTCAACAATAATTATAGGCAATGCAAAAACATTATATTGTGTACATATCGTGTTTTCTTTTTAAATATTTGTGATTGTTAGATACATGAATATACATTGGCACACCAATGCTTACATCAAAACAACCTTGTATTACCTACATTACATTTGATACATTTGTCACATGTTATGAGGAGATCAGGCTTCATTCTCATAGACAAAATGACAGAACCCATGGGATTTATTGTCCTATGAACTGAAGCTCTGTACCAGCAATTCTGTACTAGATCAGCGTTTCTCAACATTTTTCAGTCATGGCATTTCAAATTATGCAAATTTTGAGGCACCCCAGTCTAAAATGTAAAAAAAAAAAATGTAAAAAAGTATAAAATGACACATGGTTTCCCCCCCAGGAAAAAAATAAATACCATTCCCTTATCCTAGACAGGGGTCTGGTATGGATTTCAAGGGTGGGCTCCAGGCCAAAACAAAAAGAAAAGACAACATAGAGTTTCCCCCGTAGCATCAAAAGTTCCCTCCTTTCACATCAGAAGCCGTCCTTCACATCAAAGTCCACCCTTTAGCAAAAAAAATTGAAGGCACCCCTGACAAAGCCAAAAGGCACTCTGGTTGAGAAAGGCTGCACTAGGCTAAGAATCAACCTTACATAAAATCCTTTTTATTACAATGTTTAAAAATACAAAAAAGCCTAAACATTAACAAAATCAAATTGACCTCCTAGCCTTGACCCACTGTAACCTCATATGGTTTCCAATCAAATTTTTGTTATCAATCAAAAACAATTGTACACATTGATATCTAGCATGGAATAGGATTATAATAAAGGAGATGGGGAAGGGTTTTTTATTGACATGTTTTCTGGATCAAAGTCCACTTCCTCAGGCGATAGGAAGTAATTCAATTATTCAATTTGATTGGACACCCTATGAGGAGTACAATGGGTTAAGGCTAGGAGGTCAGTTTGGTTCTGGTCATTTTTAGCCTCCTTCGTATGCTTTTGGTTTGGTAAAACTTTTTTAAACATTCTAATAAACAAAGTATTTTATGTAATGCTAATTCTGAACTTCAGTTTAACATTTGTATAGTGTCAACATCCAGTGGCGTAACCAGAG